TGCAGAAGGCGCTCTTGTAATACCTATTTATCAGCAAAAAATCGATACTCCGTATTCGTCCAGTTATAGAAGCGGTGACACTCGGGCGAAAGCCCCAGTGTACTGAAATGCCCAACTACTCGCTGGCATGGCTTATTGAGGGTTCTTGCAGGTAAGCTGGTAGTGGGTAAAATGAAAAATCATCAATACTTTTTTCACTTATTGGAAATAAAATGTATTGATATTTTTAAGACGAATCAAACGAAAATTCGTTTTTTGGAATAGAGAAATTTCTATCCATTCCACTTTGCTTCTCCTCTATTGGCGCCTCCCTCACAACTGTTGGCTAGTGCATATTTTGTTTTATCAGTGTGGGAATAGTAAGCTGGGGCGCTCAATGCTTATCAGCACAAACTAGCTTTAAAACCTCTTCATGTGATATATATATATATATATATATATAATCAATTATTTTTTCAGCTCCTTGAATTCTCCGTGCTGAAAACGGACTTCGTTTGATAGCAGAAGGTCGGAAGCTATTCCCAGTGGGCGATCACTATGCTCTCAAAATTCAGCCTACTGGACTGCGATTCGAACAGTATTATAGCTGAGACTTGCCCATCGAACATCTGGATGAAAACACTTTGTTTTTGAAATTCAGCTAGAGTAACTCCACGCCAGACTATTTGAACTGAACGATTTCTTCGCCAGCCAATCTTCAGTGAACGTCACGGCGGATTCCTAGCTCCAGCCAATGCATCCACATTTTAGGGAAGAAGATGACAAAACTTTCAATAAACTGCTTACTGCTTAATCGTTTTCTTCTGCTCCTTTCTATACTGTTCTCGAAAAGCCAGTGCAGGGCTCTGATATCATATTCAACGGCTTCTTTAGCCATCAGCGTTTTTGCTATTGCAGTAATCGGTAAGATGCTTTTCTCTAACTTTTTTTTTGCGTAAATCCAGTAGGCTGGCATAGCTGCGCCCGACGTGTGGGCAACATCACTAACATGGGATACCCAAACCGACTGTCCGGGCGGTCTTGGCATTTTTGATATATATAACTGTTCGGCAATGAGGAAGAGGATGACAATGTGCTCAAGTACACTGATACCAAAGGGGAGATGTTTAGATAGTTCTAATCGGCTCGTATCAATACTGCAAAGCATCAGTATTGCGACTGGAAGTGTGGAACAAATGATATCACTACTTTAGCAGAGGAGTTCCACAGGGAGTCTAACATCC